GTCCATGTTTCAATAGAAATTACATATTTTATAGGGGTTAGTCCACATAATTAGGTGGAATATAAAGTTTTATTAAATTATTCATTAAAACATTAGAAACGATGCTCATGTATAATAAAAATAAGTTGAATATATTAATAAAAAAGTATAATGTGATTAAGTATTTTTAATAAACAATAAATAGCTTAAACTTCAGTATATTTATCAGAAAACTCGATATTTTTTTAGGGGTTAACCCACATATTTCAAGATAAGTTAGAAAATACGGTCCTTTAATGCATAGATTCATTCAGAACATATATAGGATGAAGATCAAGGATATCTGACATTTTTGTTGTCCTAATTTCTCTATAATATAGAGATTTCATATTGTTTAGTTATTTGATTTACGTGGTATATGAAGTTTTATTAAATTATTCGTTGGAAAATTATAACTGATGCCCATGTACCATAAAAATAAATTTGGGATACATTAGTATAAATTTTTAATGTGGTTAGATATTTAAAACAACTCCAAAGAGTCTAAGTTTAAGTACAAATAAGATTTATTGGAAAACTCGATCTTTTTGTACGGATTATTAACCCACATATTTTAAGATAAATTAAAAGATATAGAATTTTTTTAATTTATGCATAGATGCATTCAACACGTATATAAGATGAATATCAAAGAGTTCTGGTACCTTAGTTGTCCAAGTTTCTCTAGAAAATAGAGATTTCATAGGTTTAGTTCATTGATCTTGGTGGTATGTGGAGTTTTATTAAATTCCTCGGTTTAGAATTAGATTGATCCCCATGTACCATGAACATAAGTTTAATACACTAATATAAATTTGAATATGGTTAGGTAATTTTCCACAAAATTAAAGTCTAAACATAGTTATATAACATTTATCAGAAACTAGATCTTTTTATAGGGATTAACCTACATATTTCAAGATAAATTAGAAAATATGGTATTTGTTTTAATTCATATCTCCATCATTCATTGACATAGTATAGAGACTAAAGAGGTTTGATATTTTAGGTGTTTCCGTTTCTCCTAAAAAAAGAGTTTTTACAGGGGTCATTCCACTTATTAGGTGGTATATGAAGTTTAAATAAATTAATCATTTAAAAATTAGTAAGAATGTCAATATACCCTGAAAATAGTTTTAGTATACATATATATAAATTTGGAGTGTGTTTATGTATTTTTAAACAACACTAAAGAGCCTAAATATAGCAATGGAACCTCAGATTCATATGACTTGAACCGTGTTAAGGATCGTTCTATAAGTCGCAAGGTAGACGATTAGACCGGAAAAGTGTTAGATTGGTTTTAGACCAATGGCTAATAGAGAATATTCCGCTGCGTAACTGTTGAAATGATATAAGTTAGGAAACAACTAAGGTAGTGTTTAGCTAAGGTCTAAGATAGCCTCGCCAAAAGGCGATATTATAAATAAGGGGAGAAATATTTAGAGGTTTGGTCCGGAAGAGGACTGAGCAACGTGAGGCTTCGACAGCGGCCTGGAATGCCGGATCGGGTCTTACAGGTATTTTTAAACACAACTAAAGAAGCTAAATTTAGTATGTATAATATTTATTGAAAAACTCGATCTTTTTGTAGAGATTTACCTACATATTTCAAGAAAATTAGAAATATGGTATTTTGTTATAATGCATAGATCCATCATGCAGTGAAATAGTATATAGATTAAAGAGGTTTGATACCTTAAGTGTTTTCCTTTCTCATGAAAAGAAGAGTTTTATAGGGGTTAGTCCACTTAGTAAGTGGTATATGAAGTTAAAATAAATTACTCACTAAAAATTAGAAATGATACGAATGTACCATAAAAATATTTAGCATATGAATATATATATTGAGTGTGCTCAGGTATTTTTAGACAACACTAAAGAAGCAAAACATTATAGATAGCATTTATCAGAAAATTCAATCATTTCGTATGAGTTAACCCACATAATTCAAGATAAATTAACAATTATGGTATTTTTTTAATTGATAACTTCATTATGAAATGACATAATATGAATATTAAAGATGTTTAATACCTTAGGTTTTCCCGTTTCTCTAGAAAATAGAGATTTTATAGGGGTTAGTCAACTAATTAGTACGTATCTGAATTTTTAAAAGAGTACTCATTTGTAAATTAGAAATAATTCCTATGTACAATAAATATGTGTGGCATAAATTAATATAAATTTAGATTGTGTTTAGTTATTTTAAAACAATATTAATGAGACCTAATTTTAGTATATATAGCATATTTTGTAAAAAAAAAAGGATATTTCGTAAGATAAATTAGAAAATAGGGTATTTTGTTTTAATGCATAATTTCATCATGCAGTGACATGTGATAAAATTAAAGAGGTCTGATATTTTATTTGTCCAAGTTACTATAGAAATTACATATTTTATAGGCGTTAGTCCACATAATTAAATAGAATATGAAATTTTATTAAATTACTCATTAAAATATTATAAATGATGTCCATGTACCACGAAAATAAGCTTAACATATATTAATAAAAAAAACAGAATGTCATTATGTAGTTTTTAATCAACATGAAATAGCTTAAACTTTAGTATATAGAATTTATCGAAAAACTCATATTTTGTAGGGATTAACTCATATATTTCAAGATAAATTAGATAATACGGTATTTTTATTTTAATGCATAGATGCATCCAGGACATATATAGGATGATGATCCATGATGTCTGACACCTTTGTTGTACTAATTTCTTTAGAATATAGAGATTTCATAGGGTTTAGTTCTTTGATTTATGTGGTATATGAAGTTTTATTAAATTACTCATTGGACAATTATAAATGATGCCCATGTACCATGAAAATAAATTTAGGATACATTAGTATACTTTTTCAATGTGGTTAGATATTTTAAATAACACTCTTAAGTACAAATAGCATTTATCGAAAAACTCGATCTTTTCGTAGGAATTAACTCACAGATTCAAGATAAATTAGAAAATATAGAATTTTTTATTTATGAATAGCTGCATCCAACACTGATATAGGATGAATATAAAAGAGTTTTGATACCTTGGTTGTCCAAAGTTCTCTAGAAAATAGAGATTTCATAGGGTTTTGTTCATTGCTTTTGGTATTATATGGAGTTTTATTAAATTTCTTGGTGAACACAAGTTTAGTGCATTAATATAAATTTTGAATGTGGTTAGGTATTTTAAAACAAAACTAAAGAGGCCTATATATAACTTTTATCGGAAAACTTAATATTTTTGTAAGGATTAACCCACATATTTCAAGATAAATTAGATGCATAGATGTATCATGCACTGGCATAGTATGAATAATAAATATGTTTGAGAGTTTAGGTGTTCCCATTTCTCTAAAAAAATAGAGATTTTATAGAGGTTAGTACATTAATTAGATTGTATAAGAAATTTTTAAAAAATACTCGTTGGACAATTAGAAATGATGCCTATATACTATTAAAATATGTTTAACATACATTAATATGAATGAGGCTAAACTTTAGCATTTATAACATTTATTGGAAAAAATACTCAATCTTTTTGTAAAATAAATTAGAAAATATGATATTTGTTTTAATGCATAATTTCATCATGTAATAACATGTTATGAAAATTAAAGAGATTTGAGACCTTATTTTTCTGTGTTTCTCCATAAATTATAGAATTTATAAGGGTTAGTCCACCAAATTAGGTGGAATATGAAGTTTAATTAAATTACTCATTAAAATATTAGAAACAGTGCATGTGCATGTACACCATGAAAATAAGTTTAACATACATTAATATAAATGTATAATGTGATTCGGTATTTTTTAGTCAACATGAAAGATTTTAAATTTCAATAAACATCATTTATCGGACGATCTTTTTGTTGGAACACCTATAGAATTCAAGATTAATTATAAAACATGGTACTTCTCTTTCAATGCCAGGACATATATAAGATGAAGATCAAGGATGTTTGATACATTTGTTTTTCCAATTTCTGTAGAATATAGAGATTGCATAGGGTTTAGTTCTTTGATTTACGTGGTATATGAAATTTTATTAAATTACTCGTTGGAAAATTAAAATTGATGCCCATGTACCATGAAAATAAGTTTAGGATACATTAGTAATTTTTTTAATGTGGTTAGATATTTTAAACAACAATAAACATGCTAAAATTAATTAAAAATATCATTTATTGGAAAAACTCGATCTTTTTATACGGATTAACTCACTTATTTCAAAAAAAAAATTAGAAAAATATAGAATTTTTGTATTTATGTATAGTTGCATCCAACACTGATATATAATCAGAGAATTTTGATTTTTTTAGTTGTCCAAATTTCTTTAGAAAATAGAGATTTCACAGCTATGTTTAATTTACCAAAAGAACAGGTTAGTGAAGAAGATCTCTTAACATTGTCTTGTAATAATATTTTGACTATATATATAATTTTACGTGGCTTCAAATAAATTATGAATGTCATACTCGTCATTATAATTTACCTTTATTAGTTTAGTAAATGATTAGGTTTAAATGTGTTTGGTTCTTTTAATTAGTTTTAAATATATTAAATTGTATTTATAATTTCAGATAACTTACAAAATAATATTAAGATACATATGTATATATATATATATTTAAATTAGTATTGGCATACTAAATTGAATTACAATCTGAAATTTTAAAACCAATATAAAATTTTAATACTATTTATAAATGAATATAGACACGTGTAATCTACATAGTACACATGTTTTAAAAACTTTGTTGAGAAAAAAATAAACAGTATTTTTATAAAAAAAAAGGTTATAAAATAGTAGAATACGGTATCTTTGTTGTTGACACAGAATCTTGTTGAAATTGTCTCTCAATACTACATACATGCAGCCTACCTCGTTTAAAACCAACCAAGTCCCATGGATTCTAACGATCGATGGTGTTACTTAAGTAGCATTAAAAGTGGACATCACCTAAGGGAAAAAAACATTAAACACGTGACACTGGACCACAAGAAAGATACTCTTCACAAGAAAATATACTATAAGGAGAAGGGTTTGGAGGCTCATGAACTTGAGCCACACCTTCAAGCATCTGCGTTACAGTTCTCATGTTAGGTCTCATTCTTGGTTCTTCTTGTATACACCATATCCCTATTTTCACATATCTCTCTACCATCTCCATATCCTCCACCGCCTCTAAATCGTCTTCGATAAGATCATCCAGCCTCCTATTTCGGAAACAATCATATGCCCAATCGATGAGAATCACGTTATCCTCAAGATCAACTGCTTTCTTGCAGCACACGACTTCCAAAAGCATTACTCCATAGCTATATACATCTACTTTGGATGAAATGGGACTGTTCCTGAACCACTCGGTCGCGACATACCCTTTGGTTCCACGGATGTTTGTGAGAGTATTCGTTTGATTCATCCTTAGAAGCTTTGCTAGACCGAAGTCCGAGATGCGTGGACTGCAAGACTCATCTAAAAGTATGTTTTGAGGTTTTATGTCACAATGTATGATTTGCTCACAACATTCTTTATGTAGATACAAGATTCCACGTGCAATCTCCACCGCGATTCTCCTTCTATCTTTCCAGTTAGGTCTTGGACGCTTGAAGAGGAAACTAGCCAGCGTCCCACGAGGTAAGTACTCGTAGACGATCAAACGACTCTGCCCTTCGTTGCAAAAGCCAATGAGCCTCACAAGGTTCTTGTGGTACGTCTGACCTATCGCTCTAACCTCGTTATTAAACTCTTTCTCGCCTTCTTGCACCACTCGGTCTAGTTTCTTGACAGCCACGGTAACTTGAGAATCATCTATCATTTTTAAAACTCCTTTATAGACGATCCCGTATGCTCCTCTTCCAAGCTCTTCCTTGAAATATTCAGTAGCCTCTTCGAGCTCCTTGTATGTAAAGACTCTTAGATTCAACTCAAATGCATTAGAGCACCATTAACGGTGACTCTTAGTCCACCTCTTAAGCCCAAAATCCAATTAAAAAACATATAATGAAAAGAGAAGCCCAAAACCTGCCTCTTGCGGGAGAGCCAGAAGAGGTGCCTCTTACGGGCACGTGTCAAGCGCGGAATGGTCTTGACAAACGGTTACGTTTCTCTCGATCAAATCTCTCTCTCTCTCTCTATCTCAGACATCTCTCTATGTCTCGACGAAAGGCGATTTTTTCTCCACCGGTATCGATCAACGGTGACGTCTCCGTCGGTATCTGTCATCGGGGAAAGGCGATTTCGTCTTGTTCGGTGGTTCTCCTGGAGGCGACAGAGCTCTGTCTCGGTGGAACTTTCGAAATAAAAAGGTAATCAAAAGATCAGACCTTCTGTTGATGTGTTCTTGAGTACGCATGTGTTCGATTATGTCTGATTTGTAGTTTTTCTGTGTTGTTTGTTGGTTCTGTCTGTCGGTGGTTTTCTCCTCGAAGATTTGCTTCGGTGGCTGGAATCGTCGCTTTCACCTCAAATTGAAAGGTAAACATGTTGTTCTGTGTTTACATTATGCATGTCTGATTGGTTATTGTAGTTTGTTGATGCTGTTTGTTTCACCTGAAATCAAAAACTTTATGTGTATGTTCTTGAGTTTGAAATATGTTTCAATTAATACGGATGGATCAAACATTTTATGTTCTATGTTTCAAGACTTGCTGTGTGTATCTTGTTTGATTTGTTTTCCTTTTTGATTATGTCTTTTTGTTGGATTACGGTCTGAATAAATTTTTGTTTATGTTTTTCTGTTGTCAGTTCGAAGGATCAACGTTCATCGAGCAAAGGTTCATCTACCTCAAGAGTTCACTGCAAAATAAGGTTAGTGGTTCTCTTAACTGGTTACTCTTATCTGGTTGTCTTAATTACTGGTGTACTTTTAAGGATCAAAATACATATTACCGACTGTAATTAATGGAGTGGTTAGAATTAAAAAAAATATGGTTGTGTGATTATTTAGAAGTGATGGATACCTACAATTTATTAATGTTAGCTGAGATGCAAGTAGTTAAATGTAAACACGCTTTTGTTTGTTGGCTGTCATGAATGCATCCTTTCTTTCTCTATCGACCATCTTATAAACTCACTGTCCTCTTCCTCTGATCTTTCTTATCACATATCCTTCATCTTTCTTCTCAAGAACTCTTATTCTCTGTATGGATTCCAATCAAAGCCAGTCCTCTGGTTTCATAAACTTATTAAACAGTCAAGTCCCTAACCATGATCGCCGAACTCAGTTTCTGAGGTTTTCACCCCCTCCAAACGTTGGAGGATCTGCTTCACATGCAGAGGATGATGTTGACGACCGTAAGCTAAGGATAAAATGGACCACAGCTGAAGACATGGTCCTCATCAGTGCATGGCTTAATACCTCCAAAGATCCAATCGTTGGAAATGAGCAAAAGTCAGGGACCTTTTGGAAGAGGATTACATCTTACTACAACGCCAGTCCTAATGTGGTTGGTTTCACTACAAGAGAGCTGGGCCAGTGTAAGCAAAGGTGGGGAAAGATAAATGAAGGTGTATGCAGGTTTGTGGGGTCATATGAAGCTGCATCGAAAGAGAGGATAGAGAGGGGCAGTGGCTGGAGTGAAGATGACGTCTTGGCGAAAGCACATACGATATACACTGAATGTTACCGTGGTAAGAGGTTCCCACTGGAACACGCGTGGAGGGAGCTTAGGCATGATCAGAAGTGGTGTGCGAGTCAAGGAAGAAGTCAACAAACCTCAGGTTCAAAAAGAAAGAGGGTTGGGGAAGAACATTCTTTTCAATCCTCAGCCAGTGTTAATGGGGAGGATGTATCAATGGATAGGCCTATTGGGGTTAAGGCTGCAAAGGCTAAAAATAAAAAACCAGTGGGAGAAGAAGTTAAGATTCCAGAAGGGTTTACGGATATGTGGGAGATGAAGGTCAGGGACTTAGCTTTCAAGGACAAGCTTAGCGACAAGAAGCTCCTTGAAAGTTTGATTGCAAAAAGAGAGCCACTTACTGATATAGAAGTGGCGCTTAAGCACAAACTGATAACCGACTTGTATCCAATGTAATAGTAGTGATCAATGTGTGTTCAATGTGTGCTTGCTTGTTTCAATGTTTTCAATGTTTTCAGTGTCTTATATATGTAGTATTTCTTTGTGTTCAATGTGTTCAATGTTTTCAATGATTTTAGTGTCTTATTAATGTAGTATTTCTTTGTGTTCAATGTTTAATATATGAATGTTTCTGTTCAAAGTTTAATATATGAGTGTCTTATTAATGTAGTATTTCTTTGTGTTTCAGGGTTTTAGAGGCGGTTGCATCGTATGATCTATGGATATGGCACGCATTTTTTGGACCTCCAGGTACTTTAAATGATATTAATGTTCTTGATCGCTCACCTGTTTTTGATGACATAATACACGGTAAAGCTCCCAAAGTCACCTTCTCTGTCAATGGGAGAGAGTATCATATGGCTTACTATCTCACCGACGGTATTTATCCTAAATGGGCAACTTTTATCCAATCAATTTCATTACCACAAGAGCCGAAAGCGGTTTTATTTGCTCAACATCAAGAAGCTGTCCGAAAAGATGTCGAGCGTGCCTTTGGCGTTTTGCAAGCGCGGTTTGCCATTATTAAAAACCCAGCACTTTTTTGGGATAAAGGCAAAATTGGAAAGATAATTAGAGCATGTATCATTCTCCATAACATGATAGTAGAAGACGAACGAGATGGATACACTCAATATGATGTTTCAGAGTTCCAAGAAGGAGAAGCCGCCAGAAGTTCACAAGTTGATCCCACATTCTCTACTGATATCCCTTCAAATCTCGGCAATTCGATGAATGTTCGAACTAAACTCCGTGATAAACATATGCATGAACAACTCAAAGCTGATTTGGTTGAACATGTATGGCGTAAATTCGGACGTGGTTCGGACACCAACTAAACTCTTATGTATCTTTCAAATTATTCTCGTTTATTTTTGTAATCTTAATTTTAATGTTCTTTCTATATTTAATGTTTAGTCTATTTTATTTTAATATGTTATATTTAATAAATAAAGTTTATCTTACAAATATTATAGTTTAATAATTTTTTTTTCTTAAGAACCCTCAAATAAGAACCTCCATTGCAGCTAATAAAGTTAAATGTCTCTAAGCACAACCTCTTAACTATTTTAAATTACTAAAAAAACACTAAGAACCTAAATTAACCTCTTGGGGTTAATGATGCTCTTAGCAGCACTGATGACATCTCTCGCTTTTTTCGTCGTCTTAGTTTTCTTTTTGTATAGAGCAATCAACATGAGATTCGCAAAAGCTGAGGTTCCAAGAAAAACCGAACAAGCAATGATTAACTTGATTAACCAGTCACGGTCTTGTCCTCTCTTTGTGGTAACTGGAACATCTTTTTCTTGTTGACCTATTTTTAGAACCTTAATGAGAGTGTCGCTAGATATAGTCTCTGAACTGTGACCGTAAGACAATGGATACTTTTTCTTCCAACACACCCGGTCCGATCCAAAAACAACAGCAGCACAGAAACAATCGTTAAGACAAGCAGCTTTACAGCTTTCTTCATTGTAATTTTTGTACCTCTCGTAATCTCCGTACGGCCAGTTCACTCGGTCTAAACGAACAAGCTCATAAACATTAGCGCCCACGTTGGTTTCGTTATTCTCTTGTTGACAAGTTTGCATCTCAAAACTCGGCACACAGTCACCATAAGGGTTGTTTGGATCCTTCAACATAAACCTCTTAGGACATTCACGTTGAGTTGTCGCTACGAAGAACATACATGTAGCCTGACTGGTTGAAAACTAATCTGGTCCCGGGTTTAGGTGCTGTTGTGCGGCTTTCGTAGTAACGGAAGTATACATCTGAATCAGATAGCGAGTTGGAGTTGAGTACGAGAAGCTCAAGATTACCGTCAAGGCCTAGACGTAGCCTGAACTTTCCTTTTCCGAAACCTGTCTCCGTCCGGCGAGATGAGAGATTCCTTCCAACCTCTAAACTCTGCACCAAAATGTATACATCTTTGTACTTACAACCATAACGAATTAATACTACTAGTTGTATATTCCCCGCGCAAGCGCGGGGACAGGATCATTATGTTTACGTGTATTTTTTTCGATTGTTGGTTTAGTGGTTTCTTCTAATGACACCAATTAATAATGAAATGGGAAATTTCATGTTTTTATATCGTAGGTCAAAACTTGATATAATTCTATATTTATAGTATTTATATTTGTATTAAACGATTTATCAATATGAAAATAACCTTAATTAAGTTAATATTCGTTGCTTAAGTTTCATTAGATAGGTTTTTATATATGGTTTTTTGTAAGTTTCGGTTTTGTTCATAAATGATGTGGCATTTTTACCTACGGAGTCATCGACTGTGGGAATTCATTCGCCGAAATCTGGAGTCGGTGGTGAGAAATGTTTTCAATGAAATTATAGTAGTTATTAAAATTTAAGAGAAATTACATATTCATTTAATAAATAACTTACTTAAATTTTGTTGTTTATTTTATTTTATTTCACATACATTTTTTTTTGAAAAATATTAGGAATGTGTTAAATGTTATTTATATGCGAAGTAAGGTTTATAGGAATAGTTAGGATATAATATAGTTTTTAGTGTGTAAAAGTATGTGTGTGTTTTTTTGCTGTAAATAGTTTTTATATCGTAGATCAAAACTTGATATAATTCTATATTTATAGTATTTATATTTGTATTAAACGATTTATCAATTTGAAAATAACCTTAATTA